ATTAGCGGTTTCGACACCCTTGGGGGTAAGTTGAATCTGTTCATTTTAATAAGTAGATCTCACTATCGAAAATCTAGAATATTGTGAGGAGAGGCCTGACAATATTCTAATTAATTAATAATTTAGTGACTCAAATGCAGTCAATTAGAATCTTTCTATTGAAAACCAGCTTCATTTGTTTTGCCCAACTTCGGTAGAGCCTTCCAAAAGCGCAACTGCTCTACGAAACCTTTAAGTGATATCGCCTGCTCTAAGTTAATGGCTTCTTCCTGTCTTTATTAAAGGAAAATGTCATGGTGGCGATACTTCTTAAAGTCACCCATAAATGATTTATTTGGCTCACAAATTTTTTAGAGATTTGCGAACATAATTGATCTGATTTAGACTGCAGCCACCTAGCAAACTGAGAGTCCAGACAAAGATAAGATTATACATATTTTTGTGACAAAAGTTTGCTTGAACTGAGTTCTTGCATTAGAATAGAATTAAAGTGGTTCTAAAGAAGGATCTCTCATGCCTCATTTTAGAATGAAATCAAGACCCTTCCCAATTACCCAATGTTTGCACCCCTTCTTGACCACCCACGATTTTGAATGCTATAAAAATTTGTGGTCAGTCGTCACTATGGCATAAGTATGGCGCAAGCGAGAAGATGCACTTTATAGGTACCGCAGAAATATAAGCGTAATCGCAAAAAGTAGACATTGAACTACACAAAAATCTGCAACACAGCTTTCATATTTTTACAGAGATTTCTTTTACGTTTGATAACGTTTTTCCACAATACCTGATTGTTATGTGAGAAACTCCAACGTTTTGATAGCCTTCGTGTGATCACGCCTTAGAAACTTTATTTCCAAAGCTGAGTAGTGATATTTCAATGGCCAATGCACACCTTTTCGTGGTTTGTTTTTTGTCAAAAACAATTTTTGCTGAGCTATTTCCCTCTACGTTCATTCTTTTATCTTAACTTCAAAGAAGGAACAAGATGCATCCACCAACACAGCGGAATTCGCAAATTCGAGAAAAAGCTTGAATTTAGTATTCTTCATAAAAGCCCAATCTATAAATCAGCAGTATTACAAAGGATAATGATAGGTACAAAGCGGAGCGCGGGAATCGCAAACAATGATAGCGTGCGCAGCGTTGGTAGATGCTTTGATGATAATTGTGCCAGAGTCAGCCATATTTTCTTGGAGTGCATGACCTTAGCCTCAGGATTCAGGAAATAGTTGTTTTCGAAGATCTCATGATTGAAAATTTATGACATCACAATAATAACCAAACGAGTACTCTAATTTTTAGTAATGATTCTTAGGTGATCCTGAAAAATTTTCAAGTTTGAATTAAAAATTACCTGTAACAAATAAGCTTGAGAAAAACTATTAATTTGAAAAAAAAATAAAGAAAA